TGTGTGTGTGTGTGTGTGGCATAGGAATTCCTTTTTTCTTTTCGAGAAGCACAACTATGCTTCTCGTGAAAGAAAATTTGTGCATGCACGAGAAGCAAACTAATGCTTCTCGTGGAATCACATTTTCTTCTTCCGCGCAAAAAAATATCATGGTTTCCCCCCTTCCAAAAATCTAGGGATAACTGGACAAAAACCAAACAGCCCAAAATACCCGCTGGCACGCTGCTGCCCGCGACCTGGACGCCATAGAGCTTCCGGCGCCGTTCTCATGGCAGATGTGCCTTCTCCTAGGGACCTGATTGCTTTTTCGAAAAAAACTTATAGGGATCCAACTGCTTTTAAAAAGAACTTACATGGACCTAATTGCTTTTTAAGTTTTTTTGCACGGACCTGATTGCTTTTTTTAAACTTACCGTAGTTATTCTGTAAAAAAATGTGGCCATATATTTTGGGATTTTTATTAGAGTGTAAGAGACATTGACATGTGGCCCCCACATGTTAGTTAACGGTCAAACATACAATTTGTTTAGGAGCGGGCCCGACCTGTCAAAATCACGATCAATTGCGAAGCACTCGATGATTTGGATTTTGGAAACAACCGATGCCGATTCTGGTAATTATCAGTGACAAACAAATTTTTGGTAGTTTTTTTTGAACCCTAACACGAATTGTGGTAGTTTTATGCTATTCACTCGATGTTCCTATATATCCAAGAAAGCTAAAGAGGCTTGGAGGTTGTTGGGGTTGAATGAAATTATTACTAGGGCTTGTGAATTTGATCCGGATGGTGAGGTTCTACTTGAGTATTTACTCATGTGTTATCTATTTTGGGTATTCAGAATGTGCTTGAGATGACTACCATTACCACTTGGTACTTATGATGGGAAAGGCGCAAGTTGGCCCATGAGGAGAAGACTTAAAATGTCAATCAGATTAATATGGGGATTCGGAAAAATCGGGGGGATAGTTTAGTTAGTGGGGCGGATAGTTTAGTTAGGATGAAAATGACTAGAGTGCCATCTTTACGAAGGCAGGGTTTGGTGACTTCAAAATTGTCAAGAAGCTTGGAGCTCGAGGTGTCATCAAGGTCTATCTATAAGTTCGTGTTGCAAATGGTGTGATGGTGACCATCTGGTATAAATTGGCGTGGTATAGTAAATAAATAAATAAATATGTGAGGCGTGTGGTGCATTACTATCTAATGGAAGACATAATGTAATAAAAGTTGGTAACTGAAACTTTAAGGGCTACCACATGGCACATGTGGTAAGCAATTCAAACTCGATGAACCGTTTGGGGTGTGGTCACGATGAAACTAGCATGTAATTCTTATTTGAGGAAGTATGTGCATAAAAGTTGGTATCAAGAAGTGTTCAGGCGCGAATCAACCTGTGGTTGAGATGGTTAGGTGGACAGTGGTATCCCCAACCCACCAGGGTTCAAATCCTGGTGCTCGCATTATTTCTGGATTTATTTCAGGATTTCCGGCGATGCGCTTTCAGTGGGAGGAGACGTTCCCGTCGAAGACGAGGCGCCTGGATGAGTGTATGCGCGTGTATATGAGCGCTTGTGTCTGTACCGATGCTCAAAAAAAAAGAAGTGTTCAGGCATTCGGTGTGTATCTATGTACGTGCCACGTTTGTATACTCCAACATGAGGAGATATTATGCTTACCATGTCTATCTATTTGCCGATCGGTAAATCCACAAACGTGAAAAATTAAGCCCTCGGCCAGTTAGAACACGCGATCCTAACACATAGGACGGGTGCAGAGGACATTCCACTGCGTTGGTAGCAGTTTTCTAAGCGCCACTAGTTAAACACATATGTATATCAAGGTAGAAAAATGAA